GGGCTCCGGAGAAGCTGGAGGGAATGGCGGGGGCCCCGGACCGGGAGGCCCGGGATCGGGATCGGGATCGGGCAAGGACGGAGACGGCGAGTCCGGCGAGGAGGGGAAGAACGCTCAAAAGAATGGACCCAACAAGGTAACACTTTCTCCCCCTCTTCATTACTTCTGCAGCATCATCCTTTAGTGCAAACATCGATGCTCTACTTCGCTAATGAAAGCAGCCGCAAGCCTCTCTCTCTGCCTTGGCTGCTGCTTGCCAAGAAAGGCAAAGCAAGCCAGAGGGAGTAGCAAAGAAGAATCCGACGAAGTTTAAGAGGAGAAACAAGTAGCTACTTCATCACTGACAACTCTTTCGTTCCTCAAAACAGCTCATGAGGGTTTTGCAGATTCAGATTTGTGAACAAGTGTCTTTTTGTACGCAAATAAGCGCTAGAAAAGAGCACCATTTAAATGCCATTCATGAAATTCGTTCACGACTTGTGATCAAATGGTTTTGTTTCAAAAATGCTTCAGCAAGGAGGCCGAGGCAACAACGGCCGAGGCCCCCCTGGCCCTCCCGGTGGTCAGAAGAATCCTCCGCGAAGACAGCAAGACCAGTCTTTGGCGCAGGCCCTTCCTCTGCTTTGGAACGCAGCCGCCAACACCGCTGTGAGACCTTTTCGCGTCAAGACCCTTTCGCCTCAATTCCCGATCATGTATTCAACTTGCTGGACACCTTTGCCTGCGCATCTGTTCATGAAACATGAATTTCATGTTGAACAAGAACTATTCAGATGTGCTGCTGCTGATTATGTTTCATTTATTATTTAGTTGAATGCTGTTTGTCTTTTTCTTAGGCGGCATCGGATGAATCTTCGGATTTAGAGGATTACAACGCTGCGCTGGCGCGGATATTTGAAAAGCGAATGGCATTCCAGTAAGCGCATGCATGAATGCTGTTATTATTTCCGGTCTTTCCCATTCCTTTTTTCGCGAGCAGCTTTTCCACTTTGCTGAATTTCGCATTTCAGATCCACTTTGCATAACATGTATTTCATTGAAAGCGTTCCCCAGCTGGCCTGTTTTTGCACAGCCCGCGATTTCGAGGGGCGTTGGAAGACATAAACGAGGCGCTGTCGCGGGACCTGCTGGAGACGAACACGAAAATGCCAATGAGCGAACGGCAGAAGATCCTGTACGGGCTGGGGGGCCGCGGGACTTACCTGGAGGTGCCGCAGCTGCTGCACGAG